AGCTGTCTGGGGACTGGGAACCGGAGTTCAGATGTCTGGGGCACACAGGGCTAGGCGCGGCCCAGCCAGGAGGGCGCCAAGGTAGTTGTCCAGAAAGCTGGCAGGTGACCGTCCAGGGTCTGTCAGGGCCGCCGTGCCCCGGTTCTGAGAACGCCTTCGGGGACCATGAGGGTGACAACCCCGCGCTCTCCGCCCCGCTGACCGCGCCTGGGAACGTTGGGGACAAGGAGGGCGTCCGGGAAGGAAGGTCGATCCTGCGCGGGCCGCATCCTGGCAGACCCCAGCCTTGTTCTCTCTGCATGCAGTAAAAGGCTGGCCACCGCCCTTTGGCCGAGGGCTTCCGGGAGCTGGAACCACAGTGAAGGGGTCACTGGCACAGAGGTTCCCAAACTTTGCTACTCATTAAAGCTCCCTGGAGAACTCTAGCTCTCAGACCCACGAAATCAGACCTTGGGGTGGGGCTGGCGGTGCTACTTCTCTGCCCTGCGATGCCTACACCTCCTTTCCTCGGCGCAGACAGGAAGCCATCCCGAACCCTCCTGGGCTCCACAGCGCCCCTCCTTGTCAGGGCGCTCATCACGCCTGCAGCCCGAGCTGGCCGGTTTCCCTGCAGGACGTCTATGGTTGCAGCAGAGCCACGGACACCGAGGACTGCAAGGACAGGGTCAGGTCAAAACAGTAGGATGGGGGGATACCGACTTGACCAGAGAAAAGCTTTCCAGACCTGGCGCTGGACGAGCTCAACTGCTAACCTAGAAGGGAGGCAGGCAGGCAGAGGGGCATCCTTGCCAGAGCATTGCTGACCAAGATACACCTTTTCAAACTGAAGGCATTTTTTAAAGGTGTCTCTGGAGTACTCTCTTTACCAGAATGATCTGACAAGTTTTGGTATTTCCATTCAAGACAGACTTTTCTCTCAAATTCAGCAGTCCTGAAAGTAGGAGGGGATTATACTAACAGCATAGTTCTGTATAAATATGGGTATTTCCTGAGGTTTTACCACAAGAAAATTTAGACCTCTCAACACACAAAGACATGGGAATAGAGTTCAGGTGAAGTCGAAAATGAAATGTGCCAAGCTGGGGCCAAGGGCTCTAGCTGACAAGGTTTCTGTGGGCTTCCTAACACCTCAAGCTGGTCACTTAAAGGTCTATACAGTTTGCTAGGAAGGCCACATGTGGGCAGGAACAGAAGAGGATTTAAGAAAGCCCTTACCTGGGACGATGAGGCTGTTCATGTCCCTTTTCCATGACTTCTGTTTGAAACTATTCAATTCTGGTTAGCTCACACTGAACAGTTTTTTTTTTTTTTAGACGGAGCCTCAAGCTATCCCCCTGGGTAGAGTGCCATGGCATCACAGCTCACAGCAACCTCCAACTCCTGGGCTCAAGTG